ATTGCTCGAATATTTTGAGCAGAATGACACAGCCGTTGATTGGAGCGCATTGCAGAAATTTATCTACGGCAAAAAACTGTTAAAAGGGACCGCCAAAATGTTCATACGCAGCCAAAACGGGGTGAGCAGTTGGGTGACACTCAAGCAAGCATTGTGTATGGAATTCGGCACAGCTGCTTCATCGTTCGAAGTTCATCGATTGCTGAAAAATCGTCGAAAACGCCAGAATGAAGACTACTTGGAGTACCTCTACAGCTTGATGGAAATCGGTAAGTCGATAAACTTGGACGATTCCAGTTTAATCGAGTACTTCGTAGAAGGCTTCCCCGACTCGAGAGCAAACAAGACGAATATATACCAAGCCAAAACGGTGAGCCAATTGAAAGAGGTTAGGATATACATAAAAGAAAATCCGCGTAGGCAAGCCACAGTTCCCAAGTTCAACACAACCTATACCAAGGTACAACCTAGGCACATCAAAGCGACAGAACGACGAGGTGAAAAAATATTTTTTGTGTGGAAGTCCGGCGCATTTCGCTAGAAATTGAACAAAGCGTTCGAAATGCTTTAGTTGCGGCCAGTCCGGTCATCAGGCGGTAGAATGCAAAAGCGGGTCGAAAAACTTGAAGTCTGAAGGCAGAAACATTAACACTATGTGAAACGAATGCGATATCGATAGAAAAACGAGCGGGTTGATTTTTAAAGACTTTTTAATGGATGGGTCGATAGTGTCGTCATTGGTAGACACCGGCTCCGACTTAAGCTTGATTCGCTACGATACGCTGATGAGGCTTCAGTTAGATGTTGAGGTACGAAAGGAAACGGAATAGGTTGCACGGTATAGGCACTAGCCAGTTAACCACGATCGGTAGTTTTACCATAGATGCACGCGACCTACACTACGCAGCGGTGTTTGATAACGACATACTGCAACAGGTCGATTTGGTAGTGACAAAGGACGGGGCACAGTTTAGAAGAAAAGCTACGCAGATAAAGGGACAATTTGGCGTGAACGCATTGAATTGCTAGAAGCGGGAAGTAGTCGTAAGACCCGAACGGTATGACAGCGGGCCTACGATGGGTGTTCAGGAGGCAAATAAGGCCCGTAATTCTCCAAGATATGTACGAGAGCGGGTAGCAGAAAGCGCGGGGCCCGTAATCCATCAAGGGGCGTTAAGGGGCCACCAAGCCAGCGCGATGGTGACATTGCCGAGGAATTCAAGAGACTGTGCTTGATTTCGAATGTCACGAACGGTGAACTGGACCTGTCACATCTAAAGCGAGCGGATGCTGAGAAGATACGAGGCTTGGTTAGCTCATAAAAGCCTCAGAGGAATACCGAATCACCAGTGGAAATGAAAATATTAGTCACCGACGATGTCCCAGTGTACCAGCAGCCTAGGAGGTTATCATACGCGAATAAACGCGTGGTCGAAATGCAAGTAGCTCAATGGCTCGAGGAGGGAATCATCCAACCCAGTTGCTCCGAGTACGCATCACCAATCGTTTTAGTGGCAAAGAGGAACGGCGAGAAGAGGTTATGCTGCGATTACCGACGTTTGAACCAGATGATTGTTAGGGATCACTAACAACACATGCCACTAATTGACGACGTTATCGAGTGACTGCAGGCAGCAAGCGTGTTCACCACATTAGATCTAACTAATAGTTTTTGCCATGTTCCGGTCGCGGCTAGCTCCCGGAAATACACTTCGTTCGTCACACCGGATAGCCAGTACGAGTTTCTCTATGTGCCTTTCGGTATATCGAACTCACCAGCCGTGTTTACCAGATATATTTCTGCAGTGCTACGATAGCTTATACATAACGGAACCGTCGTGGTCTATATGGACGACCTTATTATTCCCGCCCAAGAATGAATGGTTGTTATCGGTAGCAGCAGCAAAAGGCTTACGGATCAAATGGAATAAATGCCAGTTCCTCACAAAACGGGTAGAGTTTTTAGGCTACGTGATTCAAAATGGCTCGATAAAGCCAAGGCTAGCGCCATAAAGAATTTTCCAATTCCTCATGACCGCACAGCTTTGCCACGATTCCTGGGGCTGACGTCGTATTTCCGGAAGTTTGTGGACGGTTACGCAGCAATAGCCAAGACGCTCTTCAATCTGCTTAGAGAGGAGGCTAAGGCCCTTGTTATGAGTTGCATTCGATCTTCGACTGTGGTCGAAAGTGCTGATCGAATGAATTTTCATTTGGTATTATGGCGCTCATTCGAAGAAGAATAGCGCTATCGTGAATTTCGCTCGTTTAGGTTGTTCACAATAGTATATTTTTCACCGCTGAGAAGCTTTGTTTACAGATCGAGCAAACTAAATAGTGTGCTTATACATATGTACATTAAACTATGTTCACATATCAATATTATCCCAATCAAAGCTCGTTTTTTAATCACCCCGTTTACACAAGCAAATCTCAGATTATTAGCCGTCAAATTTGTTGTGCTTGTTATTCTCGCATCTCAAGGAAAAGTTATGTTTCTTCTCTGTGCCACCGTGATCACGTTTTTATGCTATAATTACGGTGACCATATTAACCAACGTAAAATAAAGGACATTTTTTTCAAAATGAGTTGGGAATACGTACATACAACTTGTATGATAAAAGTACCTTACCCATATCGTAATTTAAATCAGATATGTGCCAGTTAATAAACCGATTCCGAAAAATGAAGCCAAATCATTTTCCAGGACTTCGCCATCCTTTACCACGCGTTACGCGTTACGCGTTTACCATAATTACCGCCGAAGCCAGGACACAGTGGTTCAAAATTGGAATTTAATGTTCATAGTTCACCGGAGTCTTCATTTTTCAACCAATTATTACTAAAAAAAATATTTTGGTGAACATTTTTTTATAACTTTTTTTTGTTTGTAATTCTTTCGTTTTGGGAGAACCATACAATGTTTTCAACTAGCCTTTGTTATGCAATATTTATTAACTGAAACAGGAGAATATATTTTCTTTAAAATTGCCACCTTTTCTGCATTTTTCACTAAAAAATGTAATATAACCAAATAAAAATTCACAAATCAGGCTCAACTGGTCTCTTGCAAATATTATAAGCTTTCATAAAAAAAAATAATCAAATTAAGTGACAAAAAATGAAGGCTCCAGTGAATAGGTGCGTTCGACAAGTCAAAAATTGTTAATAGTTTTTCCAAATTTTTACTGGATGGCGTTCGATAACGACAAAATATTATCCAACACACAAAAATTGAGAGAGCAAGCGTTCATTTTGATGCAAGAGAAGCGTTCATTTTGTACTGGCAAAATTTTAGGCAGAAAAAATTATCCAACACGAAAACATATGGTCACAACACATATGGTTGCAGTTTTTGTAAACAAACAAAATTGCATTTTCCGAGTTTTGGTATTTATATACTTTTTGGCTGCCTGCTATGTGCCTTTACGATAGCGCCAACTAGTTTTTACTTCTAGAAATGTTCCTGGCGAACATTGAACGTTCACTTTCCTTTTTTCTTCTATAGAGGCAACATGAATTTCAGTTTGTTTGCAAATAATACATAAACAAAGTCAGCTGGTGTGTCTTCTTCTTCCGGTTTTTGCAAGTAATGGCTAATTTCCTGTTCGTTTACTTTTTTGCCTTTTCATCTCTTTGGGAGAGAATTTTCGCTTATTCTCTTGATTTTGATTGTTGGCTGGTGTTGGCAAATTTTGTTATCGAACGCAACTAATTACGAACACTAAATGCCAGTTTTGAGCCACTGAGCGATAGGGGGTTTATTGTTCTCCTTCAGTGGAACTTGAAACTCAGCGTGCAACACGTTCCTGAGCACAACTTTCCCTGTGCTTTATAGATTGTACAAAGATTACCGATTAAATAAAAGCCCGTAAGTGGGGTGCGAAACAAGCTGACGAAGGTTTTCATTATATTTTATAAGGGACATTTTTATTTTTCATATTCTGTGTTTAAAAATTTACCTCTCAAAAATGCAGAGCTGATTTAAAGGACAGTTCAAGAAACGGAGGACAAAAGGCGTCCTTTATTTTGAAAAAAGTTATAAAGGACAGGGGGTTAAAATAAAGGACTGACCTTTAAAATAAAGGGTAATTCTCTAGGGTGGGGTAACAACCCCTAAAAAAGGTGCGGAAAAGTCGGGACGCGTTTCGGCCCCCCCAATAACAATCCGGAGGGGGGGCTAATATTATTCACCATTTAAAAGTTATGTACAAAAAACTTTTGTTAAATTTCG